TGGGTGGATTAGTAACCCCAATATATTAGCAGTATTGAATAAAGCTTATTTAGGAAAAAAACAATATTTAACAATAAATTGAAATCAAAATATCTTGCAAAGTTTCGAATTACTGCAAACTTGGTTCATTTCATGGATTTTTCGTGACATACTGACATACTGACAAAGAAGTATTTATAACAAGTGACAGGCGTTTTGATAGTTATCATTAGCTCTTTAGTTGACTTCGGGCTTCACAGAGGGGAGGAGCATCAAAGTGAGAAGAATTCGAGAGGGGGAACGGAAGAGTGATTCACTGATGTAAAAGAGACAGACAGACACAAAGGCTCAGAAAGGGTAAGATGGGTACTGTGAAAGGGGTCGAATAAGACATACAGTGGGGGGTGATGGTTGTTTGAAGTGAGAATTCAACTGCCGGTTGATAGACTTTTTTGTTGTATTATCATACGTTGACCAGGGTTCACCACGAGGAGGTAAGTCTATCCCACACCCACTGACAAAGAAGTAAGTAGCATTAAAATGATAGCTGAAAACCCGCGTTGGTCTAATGCCAGACCTAGAGCCTTTTCACGTGTTTTTATTATTCGTATTTAGAAGAAGAGTGAGAAAAAGGGTACTTTTTATTGGTATAAGATTAAAATTACAGTTAACGCCAACCACATGTTTAAATGGAAACTGTAAATGAAGAGAAGAGAACGTCAGACTCTTGTCCTGTGTCTCAAATTCAAGTCAAAGCATAGTAACTTAAGGAGAGAATAATTTTATTAGCAGTTATTTATTATCCCAGCGGAACATTAATCATGTTTATGCTGGTTTTCAATACTTTAAATTCTCAATTTGCAAAATAAATTTTAGCGATGTGCCATATCATTGATAAAATTAGATCTTTTGATAGCAATAGATTGCCAAAAGTATTTACGCGGAATATTGTCATCCGTCTCAAAATCTGTCATATATTATTAATTTATCTACTAGTAAAAATTATAAATTTGATATTGAGTAAAAAACATAGTTCGTGAATAGCTTAAATAGACGCCGTTTCATTTTGTCTTCAAGGGACTGAAATTTGTATTAATTTTATATCTTTCAATGTATGGGCACCGGTTGGTAGTTCCTTATTAAAATAAAAATAGAACAAAAGATATTAATGGAATCCTTTTTAAGCAAAAATCAATTGGTAGCAATCAGTATCATTTTTTTACATCGGTCACAAAAAATATTCCCTCTTATGAATCGAGCACATGATTAATGAAGAATGTCATCGTGAAATACTTCCTAAATAGCCTAATTCTGTATTTAAATATTTGGGGAGAGACGTAGACATACCTTGCAGCTATGCACTTTTATTTTTTACGGAGATTTTCGAAAATAAAACCTTCGTACTTTCTGGGGCATCCTTCCCTTTCATAATTTATTTCTTAAAATTTTCTAAATCTTTTGTAACATTACATTTTGATAATTAACCAACCGTTTTTTTATTATAGTGGTGGGTTTTGCTTACTTCTTCTCAGTTCGAAATCCATTTTTTCTAACACACTAAAGTAATCTACTGGAAACTCAATTTTTTAGGCTTGCAAGCATTTGTTAAACTACCGCCAAGTAAAAGACAGCTGAAATCACTTTTAATTAAGACCAATAAACGTTTGAGAGGGAAGAAAAATAAAGACGGTGAGAGCAAGGACTGGTAATCAACACATTTTAGATCTGTAACCAATCTGGCCCTTGAGTCATTAGTTAATAGGGGTCATCAGGGTAGCAAAAGAGGTGATTATCAAAAAATACTGACATTTCTGCCGTATATCGGTTGGCCAGGGTGCGATAGTTTTCATACTTATAAGAAATTTGTTTTAGAAATAGGGACAAAACGTCGTCGTGTAGGTGATAACACCAGTGCTAGGTGAAACTAGAACAAGTGGAATTTCGGGAATGGAAAAATATAGCTTCTTACGGGTCAATCTCAATTTAAAAACGAGTGTCTCAGCAGACAACCCTCCGCACCAGAATCTCTCCTGTCAGGAAGTATGCAAAATATTGAATTATAGAATTCAAATCTTTCTAAATCGCGGTGAAAGATTACGAATAAAGAAAATTGGGTGATATGAAAAAATGTGAAAATTGTTTATCAGAGAAAATATTTGAAATGATATTAAATTCTGACCAAATTATTTGTGGGAACAAATGTTGAAAAAAATGGTTCGAAATTGGAAATTGAAATGATTTGCTGAAGCCGATACATTACATATTGATTGATTTATGAATTCAAAATGCCCGCGATATTAAAAGTCTTAGTGATGGGTTATTTAAATGGGATGATTTTTTCCCCTCTTCGATGGTTAAGAAAGCAGAATGAGCTTACATGATGAGAGGCAGTATACGCGCTCTTAACTTAGCAGGACAAAGTACTTAATTTTTTAGCAAAGTAATAGGCAGCGTTAATTTTTAGTGAAAGAACGCTAATTTGGTTATAAGCCTGCCCAAGAAAAAGGATTGAATTCTTCGATTTTTTATAGAGCAATATTTATTCATATCAAGTGGCAAGCGTTTTGATAGTTATCACTAGCACTTTAGTTAACTTCGGGTTTCACGGATGGGAAGAACACCAGTCACAAGAAGTCGAGAGGGGGGAACAGAAGAGTGATTCACGTATATGAAAAGAAAAACACAAAGGTAGAGAAAAAGGAACGTTGAGTACTATGAAAGTTGTCGAATATGACATACAGTGAAGTCATGGTAGTTTGAAGTCAGAAGTCAACTACCGGTTAATAGACTTTTGCAGTATGAGTATACGTTGCCCATGGTGCACCACGTGGAGGTAAGTCTATAGCACACCCCTTATAAGGTGAAACTCGTATTCTTTCTTCTCCCTAGTTATATAGAATCAATCCATACAATTAGTCACCACTTGATACGCATTGACAAATCGCTTGTTTTCACTGCGAGCCCTTAATAAAACTCATTGCAACAGCTTTCGCAAAATTGCTACTGAATCATTTCAGTAGCACTTAAATTAATGAATTACAAAAATTCACGTTTCTATTTTTTCCTTTGAATAAACAACGTGGAATTCCATCGATGACAAATGACTTAACGAACTGTTGACAATTAAATACTCCATCGCCCCATCGCTGTGAAAATAATTTTCAAGAGCCTCATGCGAAGGTTTTTTCCATGAAAGTGTAAATCGATTCCCAAAAAATGGGTGTTTCACACAGATGTTAAATTTTAATTGAGACAACAAATTCAAGATTTCTAACATTTTTGATTTTATTTAAATAATTCATCATAGTTTATTGAATCAATACAAAGTCGAAGCTTGTCTTTTGAATATTGGATAAATTAGGCTAAGTCAGGCTCAGACGGAGAGATGATATTCATACTTCAAAACTCTAATCATATTCCGAAAACACAGAAACAACTCTCTCGGACCAATGTCAGTATTTGCCCAAACATGCTTTCACGATGTCACAATCAATGTTGACTTCATTTTGGTATAAATGGCGGAAACTTAAGGATACAAACATCTCACATTACCACAAATGGTGGGCTCTCCAGCTTTAAATAACGTTTCAAAATGTTTTCTTAACTAGTAGGCAGTCACTCAAAAGTTGACTCACTGTCGCATTAATAAGAGTTTGGAATACAGTTTATTCTATGCTATCATTTTGATAATCCAAAAATTATTAGTTTCCACTTGGGCAAACCTCTTTGAAAGAGAAAATAGAGGGTATTGCAAAGCTTTGATGATATTTGGACTAAAACATTTGAATTTAAGTTAATCTGTGTTTATTTACGGCAAGGGGAGATAATGAAATCTGAGGGATACCTTATAATCATTAGGGAGAAGGAGTTAAGTTTGAAAGCTACTATGTTTCGATGGAATATGCTCAAAGGGATAGAAATTTCGAATGGATTAATAAAAGACTGCGAATTTATTCCCAGTTTAAGAGAATGTATAAAAGCGTGCTCCAAAAACTACCTTTAAGATCGTATAGACAAATCAAGATTAAATGTAGTGTGTACAGATTCATAAAAGTATGAAAGATTATATGGGCCAAGCGTGAGCTAGTGTAAGAGAAAGCAGCCTTCTTAACTCAATGATAACTTTTATTTTAAGCAGAGTGACGTTGTAATAAGATATATATATATATATATATATATATATATATGTGCGTGGCCCTAAATTCAACGTATTGACAATTACTTGCCAATCAACTCCTTACAATTCCTCCATAACAGCATTCACAGTGGTAAACAAGATAATGGGAGAGTTGTGTTCAGACTAATGAAGTCGGAAATCCATCGGGTTGGAATTTAAGATAAAAAGAGTTGAAAACCAAACTCAGGCAGTTTGGGCGAGGTCTCGACAAACGAGGCAGAATCAGGCGATGGGTAAATGGAGATTATGAAAAGATTTTAGAAATGAATCAGACACAATAGATAAGCGGAACTTAATTTAATAGGGAATTCTAGAGTTCCAAATCAATTTTCTCTAAATAACTTGCTATGATTTCACTTTATGTACTAGAAGTCGTAAGAATGTAAAAAATTGGCTTATTCAGTTTTTAGTGTTCATTACTCTAGATTACTGAAAAGCATGTGCTACTTTACAATTGCAACATCATTCAGTTATATCAATGGCATATGATGAAAAGGCAGGCCATCTTCCAATTAACACCTCCAAAAGTTATAAATCAGTTCTTCCACTACACTTGTGGAAGAATGATATATTAAACTGAAGTTAGATGTAATAATAAGTGGTTATTTAAGATATACATTTGGGGAAATTATCGAGCCAGGGAAAATATGGGCAATCTTAAAATGGGATTGGCTATATTCCACATTTACACCATTATAACCGCCCAATCAGATTCAAGGACGAATCAGCGTTCGCGCATCCGACCATGGGGTACGGTCAATGGCAAAGTTCCTTTATATGACGGGCTAAATTCACTCCAATACAAGCTTTCCTTTGGGAACAATTTTGCAACTCCCTTGCGAAGATGGAGCAGACAGACGAGGAAAGCATTCGAGCTCGCTTCAATATTGACCCAAGCCAACAATTAGAGGATTTTCATTTCCGAGAAACGACATCAGAAATTCAATCATCAGTTATCCTCTTGAGTCAACGCGTAAAACGGCAATATATGAGTGAATTCGTACTGCCTGATGATACAAGAGTTGCTGTGAGAAGACTTGAGTCATCGATGCCAGCAGATCAAACCCAAATTGTTGTGGTGAGCCTTGCAGTTAAACATCCATTTGATTCTCTTCTACCTAAATTTATAAGTACATCGGAAAATGAGACAGACGTTAATCAAGCAGATTATGGATCAACGACTTCACTTGAAACTTCAGAAGAACTTAGTTGTGAGAGTGAAGACGAAATCACCTTGGAAAAAGTAAGTTTGAGAATTTGTCATTATTTTCGCCAAAATTTTAGCCATAAATCAAATTTAATCTGAGCAAGATTGTAATGCCTAATTTAAATGCATAATCGAGATTAACCCTGCCCGAATCCAGTTGATTTAACCTTTAACAAAATAAATTAGAACAAATCAGGATGCACATATTGAAACAGTAACGTTATGCATCTAACACAGGCTTTTTAATGCTCAAACTGTCAGTTATCACATAGAATCATGAGCATGCGATGACTTCGTGCTTATCTATCAAAGCGAAGCTATTTTTCCGTTAGCCAAGCCAATATTAGAGAAGAATTTTGTGGTCTGATGTAGTACCATTCTTGACGCCACTTAATGCCTATATCAAGTATCAAAAACATTTAAAAAAACAACGGAATATCGACAGGTTTAAATACTTAACGAGATAACTTATTCATCTTATGTGAAAATGATGGAAACAGCTGAATTATTGTGATTTTAATGTAATGTATTGGCAAGGCCAATGGTATTCGCTAAATAAATACAAATTTCCCAATTAATAAAGCCCTTTTACTGAATATTTAACACTGCATAAGTATTTTCAAATACAAACCAATATAGAATATCGATAAAGTACGAGTAAACGAGGCAAATATTTAAGGAGGTGCTAATCTAAAGTAAAGCTTGGGAAAATTTTTTTCAATAAATAACAATGCTCTCATCTTTCTACATGAAAATTAAGCTTCATTGCACATTAATTATTTTAATCGTAGCTTTTTAATCTGCTTTCGTTCACCCAACAATTCATATTTCTCAAAATTTTAGCTTTCTGAAAAAGGGAATTTGCGTATTTTGGATTACCTCGATGATGATGCATGGGCTGCAACCCTATTAGAATGGGATTCAGGAGCAAATGGGGAATTACTTAAACAACTTGAAGCTGGCTGTCGACTTGATCCGGACTCATTTAGAATGGAGCGTCTACAGCGACGGCGAAATTGGAAAACTATTGTTGACATTCAACAGGAGCCACAGACACGAAGCCTTGGATTAAGTTGTGGTGGTGGCGCGGATGACTCATCCAACGTCGGTAACAAAATACAAGAGTAAAATATTCATATCACTATTTTGAGACGAAGCATTTGTATTCGCTCTTTAAAATATAAGCAACATTTAAGAGAGTTCACTTAATCAAAGTGGTAGCAACCATAACTGTTGTTTACGACGTTTGAAATAGTATTGCGCAGAATGAATGTATTTCAGTCACAGGCTTATTCTTCCTTTTTAATGATATTGTCAAAATAATTGCGAACTTCTACCAAGTGACGTGCGTTTACACATGCAGCGGATTGCTACACTAGTAAAACCTTGATCGACTCAGAAATCTCAATGGCAGTATCTCAAATGAATCTGGCTAGTCTCCCTGAAATAGCTAAGCCAGAGCGAAGATAGGGAGTAAAGCGACGTATTGCATATAATTTCAATGAATATTAATAGCTAAATATCTCTCAGCAGAGCTTTTGCATGTACGGTCCCAGACTCCAAATCCTGGCATGTTCCACATATACACGAGAATTGATATTCTAAGGATTTTTACTTTAAATTGCGCTTTCCAAAAATTTTAACTGGGTGACGGATATGTGCATTTGGAAAAAATACAATTCCAAGTAAATAAAGGGAAATTAATAGCCTTACATCTTTTATTATTATTATTTCAAATGGCAGGCTTTATGATAGTTATCATTAGCCCCTAACTGCGGACTTATAGATTTTTCGCCGTATGAACATACGTTGTCCAGGATGCTTCAGGTGGAGGCAAGTCTATTGCACACCATGTGAGCTAGAGCCCGAGCCTTAAAACTTACATGGAGCAAATCGTGGAAAGTTACTAATGATTCTTTCGCTATTAGATAAATACGTACTTCCAAAAAAGATAAATGATTTTTTCAAAGTTGTTTAATAAAATGCTAGCATGCTCTATACTTCGAATTAATTTATCTAATCAAATGCAAATGATTATGGAACCTACAAAGGGTCAAACACAAAAAGATATTGCAGTCATGATCCAACAATCCTCAAATACGAGGAAAAATTGTAAAAATAAATGTTTTCATTTTATATTGGACTATAAAATTAAAAAATATGAGCTTCTCGAAATAACGAAATAACTAAAGGTTTAGATTAATTAATGCTATGTAATATGTTTGAGAATTTTAGTAAAAAACAATTTCGAGAATCATTAAACTAATTAATATAAATACTAGAGAATATGTCTGACATTTTATAGTGTACAAATATATAATATGTAGCGGGACAATACATTAATCAACCTTAAATTTGTTTTAATTTTTCAAATAAGATATTATGGCGCTACGAACATTTATAACGGTGCTTAGGTGCTAGCAAAGCGGTTAATCCACCATTTGGTGTAACTATTAAATCCAAATCACACCGCTATGGATGCAGCAGAACGGAAGAGAGTATGAAGTAATTTTTATTTATTAATTTATAGCTCATTCCTCCGGTATTGATAAACAAAGTGACCTTCGTTCTCTCTGTAACATGTCTCACGTCCTTCGTATTTCTCGCTCAATATTGCCCCGCCCTTCTATTCCTCATTTTAACAATAATTTTCCCGATTCTTATGATATTTCGAATTATATCTTATTGGTAATTTTGATAAGGTTTAATAATCTCTTGCAGGCGTTCAAAAAACATTTTATATATGCTTGGGCCATGCTACTTTGTCAATATCTATGCTCTCATCTTTATTTGGGCCTTCCCGCATTCTCTCGAAGTATTCTATGTTCTATTTGGTCTTGCAAATTCAACTGTTTACAGTGCAATAGTTCTCTTCCGGAATTCATTTGTATTCCACAACTATGATAAAATGACCTCGTGTTTCATCCATATTTTACCTCCTCTCATCTCCTACTGGTGCGCTTTCATTTAATTTGCTTCATATAATTGTCATTGACCTTTTGTTAACTTTTATTCCTTTATTTACAATTTATAGTGTGAGGTGGTTTCCACAGCGATGTTCAAAGGAATGGTACACTAATTTCGTTGATTCTCAAGGAGATACCGGTATTACCAAATTCAACCCCATGGGCAGTTGGATCTATCTTCTTCTTCTACCAAATGCTTTCTTTCTTGCACATACCGTAAGCCAAACTTTGTTCTCTTTGTCCCTTGTTTCGAATTAACACTCTGAACAAGCATTTATGTTGATTTAGAATGAAGTTATATCTTATCCGACTTCGTCAAAATGCTAAGATGGTTTTGTAATTTTTTAGTTCAGTTTGGTCAAATTCCTTACTTTTGTTAACAGTGGCTTTTTTCATGTATAGACATTGAATCTTCTTTAACGAGAATTGGTGTTTTGCTACCGAGTTTATCGTTATTTCACTCAACTTTTAAAATTACGTTTTCCTTTTCTTTATACAGCTGATCTACTTTGTTGTCGTTCATGTTATTATTAAGCCCGATGAAACCTACAATGATAATTATCGTTACCTTCGTACGAAATATTTTGCCAAAATGCCATACTTTAAGAAGATGTCCAAAACGTAAGCATCACCTTGACCTACTTATATTTTCTGACTAAGTGATCAAGTTAGGGTCATATCTACATGAATGCTTATTTTAGACTACAAAGCCTGATATGGGTTTTCCTCAACATCCTGACAAACTTTGCATTGAGCTTGATTTCCATATTGGCTTGGTGCACATTCTTCTTCCATTCGTTTATGATGATTTTAATGGTTATTGTGATGTCATGGTACGGTGGATCGTACTATCTTGATTACTTTGCCTACTTGGCTCTACGTAAAGCCATCCAAAATAATGAAGTTCCCTCTCCTAAGGCAGATGACGATGTCGGTAATCCCACCGAAATGGAGAACTATGAAGACGAAGATACAGCGGTTAGTGAAAGTCTACGGCACAACCTTGAGATCGCACTTGAAGATGAGGGTTCAGATTCAGATTCTGATATCGTCTGAAAACCTATTCTTTCCCCCCTTGTGTATTTCTCCCCCCCCCCTCCTCCTCCTCCCCAACACTCCGTATGAAAAAAATCATCCATATCTTTATCGCGTAATTCTTCGTTTGCATTTTTTACTTGTAAATTTACTTGCTGAAATTCTGGAATTGCCAAATTTTAGAGCCATTATTTTATTCTTCAGTTCAATGCTAAAATCATTGCTTTAGTTGTATAAAGGGTCAGATGTCAAATGATAAAGTTTGAAGACTGATGAGGGGTAGAGGGTCAAGGAGGTATAGAAATCAGTGTCAAAGTATCAGATTGAAATATGGGGAGAGCCACAGTTCATCCTGTTTCCACTTTTAGGAAGGTCCCAGTTCGCCTCCTGGATTGCTTGTCTGGGCTATTTAGTACTTTTTGGCTGGTAGTTGTACTCCAGAGGCTTTATATTCCTGTTCCCATTCGTTTTTGCATTGGCAGAGTGACGAATAATCGCATGTGCCATTCCGCAGATTGCAGTCTTAGAGTAGAGGAGATGGGAATCAAAATTTCCGAGCTGTGTTTACGCACGGTGAACTCGATTCTGTCCATTGGACCTATACTTAAGTTTCCAATAATAAAATATTTGTTCTACCAAAGGAATGGTAGCTAAATCAGTCGATTATTTAACAGCAAATTAGACTGCGAATCGACTAAATGAGAGCAGATAATTGATTATATGTAACAATTAATATTTTACACTTTCATTGGTTTGAATGGCATAAATAAAAGCATCTTAAATTTTAATGTACGTCATTGTCGCAGACAATGGGTTTAATTTCTAATTCGATTGTGGAGTAACGTATATTTTTAATGAATGTATCCCAATGTTTTGACCGCGACCTTAGATTTTGATTCCATTTGTAATTAAATAACATTTATCAGTATACAAACAACATCTAATATTTCAAATGACAGGCGTTATGATAGGTATCATTAGCCCTTTAGTTGACTTCGGGCTTCACAGAAAGGAAGAGGAACATTAAAGTGGCAAAAAGTCGAGAGGGGGAGAGAATAATGATTCACAAACGTAAAAGGGACAGACAGACACAAAGGTAGAGAAAAGGTGAGGTGAGTACTGTGACTTAGTGGAATATGAAATCCGGTGGGGTCTTGATAGTTTGAAGTCAGAAGTCAACTGCCAGTTAACAGGCTCTTTTGCCGTATGAATATACGTTGCCCAGGGTGCACCACGTGGAGGTAAGTCTATCGCAAACCCCACATCATCTAATAAATACTACTTAAAAATGCACAATTAATGTAGCCGATCCAGATGTCGTCAAGAAGCCACTTTATTGGCGTATTTGATTCATACCGTTCCTTTTTATTTTGCGGACAGTTGCCAGGTGGTATATCGATGTGCTGAATCGTTCTGGTTTTGTGGGTAATCCCCATGGTTACTGGCTCATCAAACCAATAAATTGATATAAAACCCAAAATGAAAAAGTGCTAAAATGCCTGTAATTGAGAGAAATTTGGGTAGGGTGTAGCACCTGCGTTGACATTATGGATAATCTTTTTAACGCATTAACCACTTATCCGCTTTAAGTTGATGGCGTTATTTTTGATGACAGTGTTAATTACAAGTGATGAGATAATCCACAAAACCTTGAGGGACTCTACACACTGCCGATGATGAAATTCAACTTCTTTTAGCATGAAGCAAAATCGTGCTGTTGTTGTTGTTGCTAAGACTCTCTGAAGGGGACCTTGAAAGTCGGAATTTGAGATATTCTAGGTAGCACGTTAAAATTGCGTAGGGGGAATTTAAAAACAAAATTAGAGGTGATGGTATTTTGAAGTATTCCAGCACAGATCTAGGCCTTAAATGTAATTTCCTCTATCGTTTGCAATTCTAGTTCCCCAAGTGTTTCCATCTCCTTCCTAGAAAAGAACTTGGCATGTATTTCTATGCTTCATATTCGCTCAAGTGGTTTTACACTTCAATCGTATTTTGAATTCATTTCTACCCCTTCCTATGCTCCAAAAAATCGAAAAAGATGATAATCAGATGGCTCAAGGTTTGCCGAATACAAATATAGAGGACGCGGAAGAAGCTCCCAATCTATTTATTTATATCAAACGACAGGCGTTTTGATAGTTGTCATTAGCCCTTTAGTTGACTTCGGGCTTCACGTAGGGGTGGAACATCAAAGTGAGAAAAATTCGAGATTGGGAACAGAAGAGTGGTTTACGGATGTTAAAGAGACAGACGAAAAGGTAAAAAGGTGAGATGAGAACTGTGAAAGTAGTCGAATATGACATACGGTGGAGTCATGGTAGTTTGAAGTCAGAGGTCAACTGCCAGTTTTGGGGTGATGGCAATTTGAAGTCAGAAGTCAACTGCCAGTTTAGTGAGGTCATGGTAGTTTGAAGTCAGAGGTCAACTGCCAGTTTATGGACTTTTTTGCCGTATGAGTATACGTTGCCCAGGGTGCAACACGTGGAGGTAAGTCTATCGCACACCCCATCTCCCAATCTAATTCCTGAAATTTTAGAGAACATTCTTAACTTGTCCTGTTGAAGAATTATCTCTCTTCTATCAAAATAAGTTGGACGCTTATATTGTAATTTCTGATTCGGAATTTTCAATTGTTGACAAGTGTTTCAAGTAGTTGTGGCAGGTCGAACTTCCTGGCTTAGGGGATGGAATGGGTAAGAGCCATTATTTTTTATCAACTTTCTTTGTCTTAACGGTCCACACTTTGTGACCCCGATAACGATTTGGTCTAAAAATGAAGAATGCATTGTCTTGAGAACAAAGAATTCGGAGCTTTTTTGGCGTATCCTTGACCAATTTCACATCCTATTCATTTTGTCGCCACTCTTCAAGTTCAATTGGGTAATAGATCAAAAAGATGATAAATCAACCAACAAAATCTCTATTCAAAGGTGCATTTTGATAAACACCATTATTTTGAATGGCGTTATACTTTATCGCGAGATGAATTCCGAAACAGAATAGGCATATTTGAATACCTTTTCGCTGACAGAAGGCAAAGAAGGAATCCAATCGGAACTTTCTGCCTCATGGCAGTTTATAATGAAAAGTTAAATTACACTCATATTCCAGTAGCAAATTTCAATTTAAAATTTATTCCATATTTCATTCCTTCCAAAACGGATGTTTACAGGTAATAAAATTGCGATGTTGCGCCCGCACGTCAATGTGAATCATAACACTAATATTTATTCAAAAGTAGCATGCGCACTTCCACTGGCACCATGTTATTGTTGAAAGGAACAAAATCCCAAACAACAGTAAAAACACTTAATTTAGAAGTAACGAGTTTTAATTATCATCCGTGCGGTTGGGTTTTCTTCCAAGCCGACTTGTTTTAATGTAACTCCGTCCATTATTTGCTAAGACAGTTTCGTCTTCTGACTTTTTAAAGTGGTTCTCACTATCTCAATTATATTATCTATACAATGATTGCATAAGCGAGGCAAACATTTTCTAAGTGTGAGAAATTCATGATAAGTGAAAAGGTTTTTTACCTACAAAATATACGCGAATAGCAATTGGATTGGTTAGATGAAAGGCATTGCGGAGGTGCACTGATGAAAATCTCCATTTTTTTCAAAATTCGACTGACAAGAATTAGCTAGTCTCTCTGATCGTGCACATCACAGACGAAGGGTAGTGGAACATCGGTCTACAAAGCCTCGACTGGCAACAGCCTCACACACGCTTTTAAAAATCCCAATCAATGTTTAGATACGAAGTAGAGCTTCTCAAACCTATTAATTTGAGAAAAAATCCAGTGGTGCTTCAGTTATAAATGCTAAGTAAACGGGTTTAGGGGGTGCGCAATAGACTTACCTCCATGTGGTGCATCATGGACAACGTATACTCATACGTCAAAGAAATCTACAAACCGACAGTTGACTTCTGCCTCTAAACTACCATGGCCTTATTGTATGTCATATTCGACCATTTCACAGGACTCATCATACCTTTTTCTTTGCCTTTGTGTTTATCTCTTTTACGTCTGTATATCATTTTACTGTGACTTTGATATTCCGCCCCTCTGTGAAGTCCGATGCCAGCTAAATAGGTGCTTACTACGAAATTTCTGAATCGTTGAGGCGAGAATATATATTCTTTCATTATATTCAAATTGACAAATTTCATACCCATCTCGCCTTGACGGAGAACATTTTCATACGTTTCTTTTTTAATTGACGATTCCAGATATTATATATTCTTGCGCATTGCTTTTAACCATACGAAGAGGAGAAAATCTTCAAACCTTTTGCATCTCATTTATATTTAAAAAGAACATTTGTGCCAGCCCAATTTTCCTAAACACTCAAGCAATAAATAGGAATTTATACTAAAGAACTGCTGAAACCATGAAGGTCATTGGTGTGATTTTCAAGATACATAACGTCAAATGGGAAATTAACTTTGAAGTCCGTTATAATTAGCTGGAAATTGTGATAAAAGTAAAGCGGTGTTAGAAGTGAGAGGTGTGCCAGAGAATCATCGATTAAATCCAATGATATTGATACCCTACCTCACCGGGTTGTTCAGGTCTAATAAGTTGATTTCCCAATTGGAAGGACTGCAGAATATGCTCTCTCAACCGTAATTACTCGTTGCCAGTATAAAAATACGAAAACAAGCTACCGTGTTATTAAACAGTTCGCATTCAGAACCACTTTGTGAAACAATATTTTCTGGAATAATACAAGATGTACACAAGCAAACATGCAGGTGACTGATAGAGTTTTATGATTTTGTTTTAAAATTATGTCCCCATAAAAATGTATGTAAAAACAAGAAGTTAAAAATTATACGACACTTACACTTAATCATATTGTTGAATGCACTATTCAGTTGACCCGTAAATATTCATTAATTTAGTTCAAGCTTATGGTTGTCCTTATTAGGTAGATTAACAGCGATTTGAGGCGATCATTCTGGAAACAACCAGTCTAGTTTTTTGATTTCACTTAAGTGTTGCGGAGAGGGTT